TCGAACCCAATCCAAATTTTAATAATATCAACAAGAACGTAAACATTTTGAGTCGGTTTCAAGTGGGTCATTTATGGACTCCCCAAAATTAAACTGCAATTATAAAACAAAATGCAACCCACTCTCTATATAAATACTGGTATGTTCTAAATTGCAAAAGTAACAAAATAAAATGAAACAACTTATGAAAACAAAAATAAATAGATTGTGTAGGATTTAATGTTTAAGGTGATGATTCCAGTGAAAAAAAGTGAAGATTTCAATAAAAAATCCAACGTAAGAAGTACTACAGGTAAAAAAAAATCAGATTTGAGAAAAAAGCATCAAGATGCTACATGGAGACTCAACACAAATAGAAAACTTATGCACCCTGCAAATTCAGGGTAACCAGGAAATCAGTTAGAATTCAAAAAGTGCTGTTGTTATATTGCTCTAGATAAACCTCAAACTCAACAAAATGATAATTATTTGGCACTTTGAGAACGTTAAAGAATTGTAAAAAATGAAAGCAAGTAGATAAATAAATATTCACCATATAAAACAATAAAATATATAAAATAGATTGAATTACAAGTGAAAAAAAAAATTGTATCTTGCAGTCTTGTCTTTACAAATCAATATGAAAAGGTGAGCTGAAAAACAAATGTCCTCCTGAGAAAATAACAAAATAAATAAATTATACTATGGATGAATCCACAATTGAGTATTTGAAGTCCAGCTTTCAAAATTTTGAATGATGAGGTCATGATGCATTTTTTATCTGAAAAATAAGCAAGTATAGATACACCTAATGCACAAACCTTTGATTGGCACGCGAACAGATATTGTCTAAATTCAAATTCTCTAAATGAGTCATCCTGGACAACTTGAGTTAAGGGTTTAAATCCAGGAATCAACAGAGCAGCCTGATCATCTCCGCGCTCTAAACCTCCAAAATCTCTCTGTTTGGAAGTATGTACTGCATGTTTGAAAAATAATAGAAGTTCGTGACTTCGTAACAAATAATTAGGTTTACATCTAGTAAAAAGAATGAAGCAGAAGATTATACATGAGCAAAAGAGCAGTACAATCCTGTCACAGTTTTCCTCTTCATAGTTCCAGGATAATTAAAAGAGGTCTATGGCAGTTAAATTTATTTTTACTTTATTTCTAACATGAGAGACTTTCAAATTATGCAGAAAGATTAGAAAATGAAACACCTTCATACAAAATGAAATCAAAGTCAAACTCTGGTTCTTCCAATCTTTTTCTTTTTGCTTACCAAAACATGATAAAAGGTTGTAAAAACTAAGAAAGGCGGGGAGAAGCTGAATAACCACCAAATGAATAATATTACACCACTTGCCTATGCTCACAGAAGTTAATTCTATTAAATTAATCTCAAAAATAGTATGTAGAAAAAGAGAACAGGGATTCATAGTGTTGAAGTCATGAAGCGGATTATAATGACTAACTGAACAAATTTTAATAAATCTCCCCCAAGACTTCTTGAAAAAAGCAAGCTATACAAACATAAAAAAGAACTTGAAAATGCCTATTAGGTCAAAGTAAAATGCAGATTTACAGCAAATGCATTTGTCTTGGAATTGAATTTGCGAGAAATTTGCAAAACATAGACAGAACACAGAGATTTAGGTGGTTCGACAAATTGTCTACGTCCACGGAGTTGCAGAGGATTTTATTGTTTGAGGATTTACACACCGTCGATAGTGTCGACGATTACAAGAATAAACTTTTCTGCTCTCTCTCTCCTCGCCTTCTCTCTCTCTCTCTACGCGTGAGCCACCAAAAGGAAGAGCCGCAAAAAGAGAAGAAGCCTTGCAATTCACCTTCTTTCTTCACACGTAAGCTAACGCTGAAGAAAACCGATGGAGAGCCAGAACCTGCGATTCTTTTTGCCAGTAAGCAATCACTGAAGAAGAAAAGTTATCTGAACAGCGGAACGGTGGCCTTTTTAATCGCGAAACCAGGGAAGCGCGGGACTTGTTTCGCCCTCCGGAGAGGTCAAGCAAGAGAGAGGGAGAACCAAATATGGAAGGCATGAGTAATTCTTCCAAGAAAAGAATTAAAGAAGCAATATAATTATCAAATATATTTCATAGATGCAAAAACCTCCAATTTAGGATGAAGTAGATCGGACTCCACATAACACAACAATTCTCTCACTTGGAGCTGAGACACTAGCTGCATAATCCACTGGTTCCACCATCATTTTCCTCAAACGTGGTATATTCCACCTCTACAACTCAAAACCTCTGTCTTCAAGCTAGAAGACCAACTGAAGTTATGCACAACCTCAGTTTCTCCTTAAGTCAACATAACAGCAAGATTCTTGTTTCCATGAATTTTCTCAAGTAGCAACTGTCCGTCATCTAACAGTGATCACATGATGTGATACCCGATCTGAATGTGCTTAGTCTTGGATTGAAATGTTGGATTTCGATCAAAGAATATGGCGCTCTGACTATCACTGTAGAGAGTGCCCTTTCGAACCTCCTTACTCAATCCTTCAAAGAAACTCTGCAGTCATATCATCTCATTTGCAGTCTCTAACACTGTAATATATTCAGCTTCCGCAGTAGACAAAGAAACTGTTTTCTGGAAATTTGAGTCCCATGACACTGCAGTACCACCAAAAGTATATACATAATCTGTAGTACTCTTCCTGCTATCAACATCTCCAACTAAGTTAGCATCAATGTAGCCCTAACCTCCAGACTTTTTCTTGAAAAACACTAGCAGGTTTTTGAAGAACCCTTTAGGTACCTCAAGATCCACTTCACAGCTTCTCAATATTCTTCCCCAGAATTACTCATGTATCTGCTCATGACTCCCACTGCATGGGCAATATCGGGTTTTGTGCAAACCATAGCATACATAAGTGAACCAATAGGGGAAGCGTAAGGAACCTTACTCATGTGGTCTCGTTCCTCCTCTGACTTGGATGACTGATTCTTGTTGAGTCAGAAGTGACTGCACAAAGGTGTGTCAGCTGGTGTGGTCTTGTCCATATTGAAACTGGTGAGTATCTTTTTTCACATATTCAGCCTGTGAAAGTTTCAACGTGTCTCTGACTGTCTCTAACAATTCTCATTGTTTGCAGCTCCCAAATCACTCATTGCAAAGTGCTCTGAGATCTACTTCTTTAGATTATTGATCTCATCAATACTAGCTCTTGCAATAAGCAGGTCTTCCACATACAACAGTAAAATAATATAAGAATTGTCAAAATATCTGACATAGCAACAGTGATCCGTCTAACATCTACTGTACCATGTATTGTGCATAAAATTATCAAATTTCTTGTGTCACTGTCTAGGAGCTTGCTTCAAGTCATACAAACTTTCTTTAGTCTGCAAACTGGATCTTCCTTTCCCTATACCAGAAACCCCTCAGGTTGGTGCATGTAGATGTCTTTTTCAAGGTCTCCATGAAGAAAGACTTTCTTCACGTCTAACTGCTCAAAAAATAGATATTCGGTAGCCACCATGGACAGTACCATTCTGATGTTTGTGAGTTTTACCACAGGAGAAAATATCTCAGAATATCCAATGCTTTGCCTTAGCTAAAAGCATTTTACAACAAGTCTAGTCTTGTACCTCTTACTATCATTACGCTCAGTTTTCACCCGGTACACTCATTTGTTGTGCAATATTTTCTTCCCTTGTGGAAATTTTGTCAGCTCCCATGTCTGATTTCTTAGCAGATAATCCATCTCTTCTTTCATAGTCAGCTCCCACTTGCTTGAATTTTCATCTTGCAAGATTTTTTCATAACTCTGTGATTTTTCACCATCTGTCAACAGAATGTAGTTTAAGGTTGGTGAGTAACACTGAGAAGAACGTCTATTCCTGACTAACCTGCGAACTGTAGCTGTAGGGATGGACTGCTCTGAAACTGACTGCTGAACAATAGAAATTGGTGCTCGAACCCACTCTCCTCAACACTTTCATCACTGCCTTACATTGTGACCTCTGGTAGATCATCATACCTTACCAACTCAGATTCCTGAGGAGCTACTTCGGAAGTCATACTAGTCTTGTCCTTGTACATAATCTTCTCATTAAAAATCACGTTAATGTTTCTTATTATCTTCTGATCCTGATCATCCTAGAAACGATAATCAAATGAATCGTCTCCATAGCCAATGAAATAATATTTCTTTGACTTAGCCTCAAATTTGCTAGAAGCATCAGAATTAATAAGAACATAAGAGAGCCAAAAATTTTAAGGTAAGAAAATTTGACATTTCCCACTCTGGACCTTCTCAGGTAATATACAGTCTAATGAAACGGATAACCCCCTGTTGATCAGGTAAACTGCAGTGCTGACTGCAGCTGCCTAAAAAGTTGGTGGTGGTCCGGTGTGCAATCTCATGCTTCTAGCTCGCTCATTAATGGTCATGTTCATACGTTCTGCAACTCCATATTATTGTGGTGTCCCAGGAATGGTCTTCTCTATTATGATACTCTGAGTTGTACAATACTCTTTGAATCCACTATCAATGTACTCACCACCATTGTCAGACCTCAAACATTTCAACTTTAAGTCTGTCTCTGTCTTAACCATCGCCTTTCAAGTTCTGAACACATTAAATACATCAGATTTATGCTTCAAAAAGTACACTCATACATTCCTGTTGTGGTCATCAATGAATGTGACATAGTAATGAGAGCCTCTAAAAGATGCTACTGGGGAAGGCCCCCACAAATCTGTGTATAAATTTCAGTTTTTCTGTCTTTGGCACTCTGCCACTTTTCAAGACACTGACTTTCTTCTATTTTCCCATAATACAACTCTCACACGTGCTAAGATCAACTGACTTCAGTTCTGGTAGGTTGTCTCTCGACTGAAGTTCTTTCAAACCTGACTCATGTATCAAAGTTTGCAATGTCACAAATATGTTGTGCTCTCTACAGTAATAGTATCAACATTGTTAATTGAACAAGTAGTAATATATAGTGTGTCAATTTTCTTAGCCTGAGCCAGTACCAATGCCCCTTTTGTAACTTTTCAGGAGCTATCTGAGAACACTACCGAATGACCACTTTCATCGAGTTTTCCAACATAAATGAGATTTTTATTTAACTCAGGAATGTGCTGGGAGTGCAATGTCAACACCTCTCAATTCTATCACGTTCAAAGATTCTTCATCAGCCAGATATATCTTCCCAAAGTCACTTGCAACATAATTCGGCATTAACTCCCAGTGGAAAGATGTACGAAAAAAAGCCTCTGAATCTAGTATCTAATCATCAACAGAATTATGAACTACTAGCAATAGTGCATCTTAAATTTTTTTAGTTACAACATTAGCACTGGCATCCTCTATCTTCTTAGGATTTTTGTGGTTCTTCTTTATATACCAGTTTTTCCACAATTCCAGCAGATTGCTTGCTCACCAGGCTTTGACTTGCTCTTGTCTCTGTGCTTTAATTTTAATCTTCCTTTGTTTGAGTATTGTCCTGTGATCTCCCTCTGAAATCACATTCTGTGCTGAACGTGAACCCGAGGTCTTGTCAAAATCTTTCCTGCGCACCTCTTTGGTCAAAATCAAATCACGAATATCAATATATTTTAGCTTAGATTTACTTGCAGAATTGCTAACAGTCATGCTCATGGTTTTCTAGCATTTGACAATGAAGCCAACAATATCAGTGTACGTAACTCATCATCAAATTCAATTTCCACAGACAATAATTCAATTTCCACAGACAGTATTAAAATCATTTAAATATTGTGCAGCAGTTGTAACATCCACCATCTTCAAATTAAATAACATTTTCACTAGATGTACATTATTATTCGCTGATGACTTTTCATAATACCTGATAAAGCTGTCATGAGATGTGCAGTCATCCTTTCCTTGAAAACGTTGTGTGCAACGGAACTCGACAGAGTTAATCGAATAATCCCCAGAACTTGTCGATCCAACAATTTCATTCAGCCTCATCCATTTTTTCCGATTGTTTTCTCAGTAGCGGAAGATAAAGTTTCTTCTCATAGAAGTAGTTTTCTATTGGCATCCTCTAGTAGCCAAAATTCGTGTCATCAAATTTCTTGATCCCTGATACAATCACTTCATCTCCAGGCATCGCTTTCCTCAGGCCTAAACCTTGGTTATGATAACAATTGTTGTGGAAAACGACGGTAATAAAACAAAAAATTAGAACGAGAAATTAGCAAAATAAAGTCATAAGACAGATTTACGTGATTCGGCAAATTGCCTACTTCTATGAAGTTAACAGAGAATTTTATTGCTTGAGGATTTACACACCTTCGATAGCGTCGACGATTACAAGAATAATCTCTTCCTCTCTCTCTCTCCTCACCTTCTCTCTCTCTACCCGTGAGCCAACAAAAGGAAGAGCTGCAAAAAGAGAAGCCTTGTGATTCACCTTCTTTCTTCACTCGTAAAACAACGCTGAAGAGAACCGAGGGAGAGCCAGAACCTGTGATTCCTTTTGCCCGTAAGCAATCACCGAAGGAGAGTTATCCGAACAGGGAGCATCAGCCTTTTTAATCGTGAAACTAGGGAAGCACGGGACTTATTTCGCTCGCCGGGGAGGTCAAACGGGAGCGCAGAAGAACCAAATATGGAAGGAATGAGTCATTCTTTCAAAGGAAAGAATTAAACAAGCAATATAATTATCAAATATATTTCATAGATGCAAAAAACCTCCAATTTAGGATGAAGTGGACCGGGCTCCACATAACCAAACAAAAGCAATCGAGGAGATTAGGTGTCAAACAAGTTGGGATCATCCTCATCGATACAACTGTGTTGTAATCGAGATCGTTGCAGAAAGACCAAGGTAGCTCAAAAGGTGTACGTATAGAATCTTTTTAAGTACATATCATTTGGTTTCAATGGGTTAATGCCAGGTCAAATTTTGCATTCTTGCCTCTTTCTGTATCATAAAAAGCTGGTATGTAGAAAATACAGAACACGGTTTCATAGTGGTGAAGTCATGTAGTGGATTACAATGACTAACTGAAAAAATTTTAATAAATCTCCCCCCAGTCTTCTCAAAAAAAGCAAGTCATACAAACATAAAAAAGAACTTGAAGATGCTTATTAGCTCAAAGTAACATGCAGATTTCCAGTAAATACATTTGTCTTGGAATTGAATTTGATTATTCAGGAACTTAGTGTCAAATAAATCGAGGAAATTCGGTGTCAAACAAGTTAGGATCATCCTCATCTCTACAACCGTGTTGAAATTGAGATTGCTGCAGAAAGACCAAGGTAGCTCAAAATGCGTACATATAGTATTTTCTTAAGGACACATCATTTGGTTTCAATGGGTTAGTGCCGGGTCGAATTTTGTTTTCTTACCTCTTTCTGTGTCATAAAAAACTAGAAAGGGACACTCATTACTTATTCAAGGAAACCATTGAAACTGTCCGTAAATAAATTCACAAGAACAAAGAGGAAAAAAAAGCCTTCCACCAACCAATTTCAATAAAAACAAGAGAGAGTTGTCTAGTGTTTCCTAGGTGCCAGTTATCATGCAGATGAAATGCTCCTTTCCAAAGGGTTGTCAATCGCTGTTATTAAGAAGCTTACAGCAATTATGGCTAGAAGTAGAGTGTTTCACTGCTATATTTTGGAGGAATGAAAACCTAATTTCCCTTTACTTCATAAAAGTGGAATAAACCTTCAAAATACTTCTGAAATTCTCCACAATATCCATAAACATGGTTTTCATATCAAGTCCTAATTTCACCTTCAACAGCTTTTCCCAAAATAATTAAATACCGAAATACACTAGCTCCTAGAAAGAAATAGTTACAATTTGTTTTTATTCTTTATTTCACATCATTATTCTATCTCCATTGGTAGAATCAATGTGATGGATTGGAAACAAGGGATAGTTTATAAATGAAAATGAAGCTGGAATAGGCTAACCTATGTTAAGATATCACAGAAAAACAAAATAAAATGCAGTTAAGAATTTATGGAAAAATAAGATATCCGGAAAAATCAGATATCCATGAATAATAGCCACAAACTTGCATGAAAGCTCTAATTTTTATAGAGTTTCTTAAATTTCCAACAAACAACCAAAGACAAGTTCACTGCAAACTGAAAAATGTATCATTGTTAATCAGTTTGCCACGCCATGACTTATATTTGAATGACAGTGACACGGGGCTGAGGAGGCCAGCCGGCTGAATTAACTAGCAGATGGACTGGCAGAATCGGTCCCAGTGATTGCAGTTCCAGCTCCTGCTGGATTGAGCAGCAATTAGAAGGGGCACCACTGCCGCCAACCCCTTCCCCTTTCCTTTTTTGTTTCCCACCTGTTTGGAGTCCTTTTATTTGTTGTTTGAGATAATAAGGGTTATGTGTTATTTGATTGTTGTTTCAAATTATGTGTGGAGTCTCCGCTTCCTTTACTATGGCTGTATTCGACGATGGGTGCTGCTTCGGTTGTATCCCGCTCCGAGGGGGTGTTGTATCCTATCTTCCTCCCTATCACTTCTCCTTCTCCTCCCTTAGCCATCGGCCATCCCATCTCCTGCCAGCTGTCCTGCTACCCCCTTTTACTACTGCAGCTTCACTGTACAGCCCTCCAGTCTACCACCCAGCACCTTGTCATCCCTTCCCTTGCAGCAGCCATTGCTATCCACTCCTCCACGCCTCCAACCAGCACCCTACCAACCTTTCCCTGCAGTCCTACCTGCTGCACATCCTCTCCCAAACCCCATCATCAGCCTTCTATCCCTTTCCCCCAATACCCAGCCACAGGTGACCTTCACCCTCACCTTCCCCCATCTACTCCATCTTCAACCTACCACAACTACTCCTCAACCACCTCGCCGAAGCCCGTGAGTCTTCTCTTCCGACTATAGCCGGGAATTGTTGTTGCATCTTAATTCAGTTTTGAGTCGTGTTCTGTAACCCTAAATCAGTTGATTAATGAAATTGTTTTCCGTTTATGCTGGTTTTGAATTAGTTCCGGTATCATACAGTAAACTGTTTAATTAGAAGATTCATTAATGAAATGGACAAGAGTTAAAAGCGCATGCTGGTAGCACTTAACCTTAAATGTGTCAACAAAAAGATCATGGTGATAATTTAAAATAAAAGAAGCTCCGGCTGTTAAAAATAATGGGCTCTTTTGTAAGAGTCTTCATATAAAAAAATACTAATTCAAGGGAAACAAGCATGTTTTACATGTAAAGTAGAATGCTTACAGAACCAACTAGTGATTCTCAATTATCCACAGTGAAGTGTATAACTACCTGCTTACACCTTAAGACAAACAAAAGGTTTCATTCTCACCACAGGAAAAGCAATAACTACGAACATAGCTTCGTGAATCCCTTCCTTCAAATTTGTTGGGGATTCTTGGATACCAGCATGTGCTTTCCAACTTGCATGATGCCATTCGAATATTACAAAGTAAGAAAAACAAGTGAATATGGACACCGTTAGGGAAACTTTCGAGTTTACTATCCATATTGCAGTCTAGCTTTCGATATATGCAATAGGCATGCCAATCTTTAAAACACAAACTTTTAAATTATATCTAGCAACTATCAATAACAATAATCACATAATGCCTACTGTCATGATGCTCAAGTCAACTTGCCAGATGAATAACATTTAGATCAGAGGACAATGCCATTGAAATAAGGAAATCAAGAAATTGAAGAAAATTGCAAAGAGAAACAGCTGAATATGTCACTGACATGTAGCCAATCCCATTATCCAAACAAACTCCCAAATGATTACAGAATACAATATCAAGCTTAATATTGCAAATATTGAGTGGATAAATGCCAAATCATTGAAGTAGAAAGGATTGGAACCTGTTTCTAAATAGCAAAGTTCTAGTTCATCATATTCACACAAGGCATCCTCAAGAAGGTGGGCCATCTCAAACATGAAGGCTAGGCTTTCCTACAAATTATGTAGCATCCAACTTAAAAACAGAAGTTCCAAATGATACAATATATAAAAGGCAAATATTTTAGCCTAAGTAAAAAAAATCATGGACACAGCACCTTTAAAATAAAGAAGTTACAGAAACTCCAGACGGGCATGAAACGTTGTTCAGTGAGCTTGCGAAT